GACAACATAAGGGGATCAAGGGGATTGAAATTGGAAACAAAGAAGTTAAATTCTCGTTATTTGCAGACGATATGATAGTAAACATGAGTGACCCCAAAAACTCTACCAAAGAACTCCTACAGCTGATAAACACCTTTAGTATTGTGGCAGGATACAAGATCAACTCCAAAAAATCAGTTGCCCTCCTATACACAAAGGATAAAGAAGCAGGGAGGGAAATCAGAGAAACTTCACCTTTCACGATAGGCACAAATAGCATAAGATATCTTGGGATAACTCTGACCAAGGAAGTGAAAGACTTATTTGACAAGAACTTTAAGTCTTTGAAGAAAGAAATTGAAGAGGATACCAGAAAATGGAAAGATCTCCCTTGCTCTTGGATTGGGAGGATCAACATAGTAAAAATGGCAATTCTACCAAAAGCAATCTATAGATTCAATGCAATCCCCATCAAAATCCCATCAAACTTCTTCACAGACCTTGAGAGAACAATAATCAAGTTTATATGGCAAAACAAAAAACCCAGGATAGCCAAAACAATCTTATATAATAAAGGATCTTCTGGAGGTATAACCATCCCTGACTTCAAACTCTATTACACAGCTACAGTATTGAAAACAGCTTGGTACTGGCATAAGAACAGAGAAGTTGACCTATGGAATCGAATAGAAGACCCAGATATTAACCCACAAACCTATGAACACTTGATTTTCGACAAGGGGGCTAAAGGTATGCAATGGAAGAAGGAAAGTATCTTTAACAAATGGTGCTGACATAACTGGATGTCAACCTGTAGAAGAATGAAAGTAGATCCATATCTATCACCATGCACAAAAATCAAGTCCAAATGGGTTAAAGACCTCAACATTAATCGGACCACTTTGAACCAGATAGAAGAGAAAGTGGGAAATAGTCTACAAGATATAGGCACAGGAGGCCACTTCCTAAGTAGAACCCCAGTAGCACAGACAATAAGAGAATCAATGAATAAATGGGACCTCCTGAAACTAAGAAGCTTCTGTAAAGCAAAGGACACCGTCAGTAAGACAAAAAGGCTACCTTCTGACTGAGAGAAGATCTTCTCCAATCCCTCATCAGATAAAGGCCTGATCTCCAAAATATACAAAGAACTCGAGAAACTAGACACTAAAACTCTAATTAACGCAATTAAAAAATGGGGTGCTGATCTGAACAGAGAATTCTCAACAGAAGAACTTCGAATGGCCAAAAGACACTTAAGGTCATGCTCAACATCCTTAGCGATCAGGGAAATGCAAATCAAAACAACTATGAGATACCATTTTACCCCGGTCAGATTAGCTAAAGTCAAAAACACCAATGATAACCTATGCTGGAGAAGATGTGGAGAGAGGGGAACTCTCATTCATTGTTGGTGGGAATGCAAACTTGTGCAGCCACTGTGGAAATCAGTGTGGCGGTTTCTCAGGAAACTGGGAGTCAACCTCCCTCATGACCCAGCAATTCCACTCTTGGGAATATACCCAAGAGATGCCCTATCATACCACAAAAGCATTTGTTCAACTATGTTCATAGCAGCACTATTTGTAATAGCCAGAACCTGGAAACAACCTAAGTGCCCCTCAATAGAAGAATGGTTAAAAAAGGTGTGGAACATATATACATTAGAGTTTTACTCAGCGGTAAAAAACAATGACATCTTGAATTTTGCATGCAAATGAATGGACATAGAAAACGCTTTACTGAGTGAGGTAAGCCAGACCCAAAAAGAGGAATATGGTATGTATTCACTCATAAGTGGATTCTAGCCATAATTAAAGGTCTTTGAGCTTATTATTCGTGATCCTAGAGAAGCTAAATAAGAAAGTGAACCTGAAGAAATTCATGTAGTTATCCGCCTGGAGATTGGAAATAGACAAGAGTGCTCGGTAACCTCGGGTGCATGGCGGGGTGGGGGTGTTGTTGGAAGGGGAGAGGGTTAGAGAGAAGGGAGTAGGGGAGGAATGGGGAAAGCTCGGGGGACTTGGATGGGGGGGAGTGAAGAAGGATGGATATGGGATCAGGGAAGAATATATCTCAACTAAGGGAGTCATTTTAGGGTTTACAAGAGACTTGATTATAAAGGGGATCCCAGGTACAAGGAGAGATCCCCAGATTGTTCTCTGGACAGAGGAGAGGGTGCCTGAACCGGCCTTGGCCCACAACCATACTGATGAATATTTTGCATTTCACCATAGAACCCTCATCTGGCGATGGATGGAGATAGAGACAGAGACCCACATTGGAACACTGGACTTAACTCCCTAGGTCCAAACGAGAAGCTGAAGGAAAGAGAACGTGAGCAAAGAAGGCAAGACCAGAGGGAACCTTCATCTGACGATGGATGGCGATACAGACAGAGACCCACATTGGAACACCGGACTGAGCCCCCCAAGGTCCAAATGAGGAGCAGAAGGAGGAAGAAAATGAAAAACGAAATCAGCCTGCGAGGGGTGCCATCATCCACTGATACAAGGGCACTGATCTAATGAGAGTTCACCAAGGCCAGTAGGACTGGGACTGAACGAGCACGTGATCCAACCAGATTCTCTGAATGTGGCCGGATTCTCTGAATGTGGCTGGCCTGGAGTCTTTCTGAAAAGCCATTGACAATGACACTGCGACTTGTTTCCTCTGCATATACTGGATTTTTGGGATCCAGTCTGTTTGGATACTCACCTTCCTGGACCTGGAGGGAGGGGGGAGGAACTTGAACTTCCTACAGGGGGGAGTGGGAGGGTGTTGGGAGGAGGGGCGAAAATGGAAACTTTTATAATTTAATAAACTTTGAATAAAAAAAGAACCTATCCTTATGTTCTTATTTATGCTACATTATTTAGAAATTTATGAGCAATTGCACTGGAAACAGTAATTTATTGAAGTTGATCTTTTACAATAAGTTCCATTGAAAGGGAATTTGTAAAATCTCAAGTATAAGCAATTACAAACACATCAATATGTCTTCAATAACAAAAATATACCCACATGGCACAATTTTTAGAAAATTTTAAATAGCATGCTAAAGTATTTTCAAAATCTTATTTCACTAAAAGACAAGGGCAAGCAGACACCATAAGAACATACAAAAATGCAAACCAACAGTTTAAATGCACAAAGCATCAAAATCTAAGAGGTAGTCAACAGAAGGAACCCTGATAATAAAAAATTATCCCGGCAGATGCTGCTAAAGACCACAAATCACCGTGAAATTTTTGTATTTTTAAGTTTTTAAAAAATTACTGGGCAAGATTTTAAAGGCAATTATCTACACAAGTTAACACTTCAAATAGAGCAATACTCATATTTATGAAGGACTAAGAATAAAACAGAGACCACAGCTCTATAGCCCATCAGCTCAATCTGACTTACACCCATTTTGTTTACATCTCCTCTTTGATGGCACGAGGGGAGGGAGATGTGAGGAGCTGATCCAACAAGGAGGGAGCAGCCTGCAAGCACAACCCCTCACAAAATGCCTGCAGACGTTCACAGTATACACAGTGCTGCGACATTAGTGTTTGCTGCACTCCTGCCACCATCTGATTCCTCTCTCTAGATATGAAACGGGTGCAGCACTTCTTACTTCTGTAGTCTACAGATCAAAGAATTTTTCCAAGTTACCAAGAAAAAAAATCAAGGTTTACTGTGACACACTGCATACCAGAACTGTCAACAATGATGGAAGCGAAGCTTGCCTACGAAGTGTTGGAAATTATCTGAAGCAAGCATGAACCACTTGTGGCTACATCAGGCAATACTGATTTAACAACTAATATTCCAAAGTGTGACTTTAAAAAGTGACCCCAAACTAGAGAGAAACCTTTCTGAAAAGACCAATACCAGGCAGAAATGACCTGAATGCCACGAATCCAGCTCCAGACCCTTCCCAGAGGTAAGCAGAGACTGAACTGGTCCTAAGCTGTTACATCATTGTTTCTTTTCTATGAGGCAAAATTATACATGATCCACCCATTCTTAGAAAGCAAAAGCCACAACTTCATGCTCAAAGGCACGTGGAGATTCAACATGTATTCTAGTTTGCTTTCCAACAGAAAGGTCCCTCTTACAACACAGCTTACTTCCAACTTTAAAGTTCCCACTTTAAAGTTCCCGTCAAGCCCTGCAGCCTTCATCCACAGCAGTGCATGTGCAAACTGAGATACATCTCGGAGAAACTGCGAATGTCTAGTCAGTCACTCCGACAGGACAAAGTCACTCCAACGGTAAAGTCTTCGAAGTGTTAGAGCTTCCACAGCTTGACAAAGTCTCCTCTTGAGGGCAGAAATGGCAAGTAGAGGAACGCTCTGTACACGCAGGTCAAAGAATTTACCTTGCACAGTTCTGCTCTACATGCCTTACTGGAGACTGCTTCCCACAAGGCAAATCTGAATGTATTACTAAATTACAAATTAACTGACTTGCTGTTACAACTAAAAGCATAAAGCTGGAATATATAGTTGCTTTCCCATACATGATGCCATCTCAAGACAAATATTTGCTTTATCACACTTCCAAGTACTCAAAAGTGCTGCCCAGAGACAGCTGATTCTGTATTTTGTAGCTATAGTAAACTTAAATATTAATTTGATATATATTGACTTAAAAATAGTTGATACCAATATTGGGAATGTAGATCAGTTGGTAGGTCACTTGACTTACAGGGGAGGTTTTGATCCCCAGCACTGTATAAACCGCTCTGGTGGTATACACCTGTTAATTCCTAGCACTATATAAAACGCTATGTTGGTATACACCTATTAATCCCCAGCATGCAGGAAGTGAGGGAAGGACTGATCAATGTTCCAATTCATCTCTGAATATGTTGTAAATTCAATGCTAGTTTGGAGTATAGGAGACCCTATCTCAAACAAAATCCAAACAAAACTAGCGGTTACCAACCTTTTTAACCTTTGTTTTTTTGTCTGGTAGTTTCTTGGGGTACAAAACATTTTGTGGCACTTTTTTTCACGTTTCTTTGCAGACTAGTCAGATGCTGTGGCTGGGATTTTAACAGACATTTTCCTCCGGGTGCTGGTGATGTGCCGCTGCTGTGCTAAGGACCCAGCAGGAGCGCCCACATGGGTGTCTTTGCAAGCACCAGTGCCACTCACAAGCCGAGATTCCATGCCCAGTTTCTGAAACGCTCTTGTTATACCAGGTAGAAACAATGAGTTTTTCCTCATAGTCACGGAATTTGGCTACTTTACATTCACTCTCTAGAATCTCAATTCTTTCCTTCTCTGCCAGCTGCTTTCTAAGTAACATTATTTCTGCTGATGCTGGATTTAATTTGGGATCTAAAGTTTTTATTACATTTCTGACTTTCTGTAAGTACATTTTGTATCTCTCCTCCATTGCTTTCATGTCTCCATCTTTCTTCTGAAGAGCAGCTTCAAGTTCACTCATCTTTTGGGCATTCTGACTTATATCTGGCTGAAGGTCTTCATTGAGCTCCTGTTTCTTCTGTAATTCTTCATGGACTTCTGTTAGCTTTTCCATATGAGCTTCCAACTTCCGCTTTAGTTTGCTGGAACTTTCGCCTTCAGTTGTGGAGCCCTGTTCTTGTAATGACTTCTGGAGGTCCTCAATTTGCTGCTGCAATTCTCCAATGCGCTCTTTGCTCAATCTTTGCTCAGTTTCCAGCTCGTTCATCTTGCGGTGCTTCTGCTCCAGCTGCTCCTGCAGCTGCTCAGTGCGTTCATTCTCCGTCCCTTCCTGCCGCAGGTGAAGAAGCATTTTGTTCTCATGCTGCAGCCGAAAGAACACCTCTCTATATTCCACTGTCATGATCTCGGCAGCAAGGTTCTCATAACTTTTTGTAGCAGACATATCAGCTTGGTTTAGGTGATCTTGCTGTGCTTGTGGGCACCGTAGCTCCTCATTCGTCTCTTTCAGAGTGTCACGCTGTTCTATCAGTCTCTCTTTTTCCTTGAGTAAAGCTTCATGCTTTTCTTCAAGCCGCTTCATCTCAAATGCTAGTGTATCTGCCCTTTTAGACTCCAGGGACAACTTAGTGTGAAGGTCCTGAACCTGGCGCTTATAGGTCTCTAGCTGTGCGCGCTCTACATTGGCCTTTTTGAGCTCCTCTTCCAAGCTCATGGTGTTGTGCATATACATTATATTTGTCTCCTGTAAAGATTTCACCTGCTTGCGGAGGTCATTTAGATCCTGTAGCTTCTGACGATACACCTCCACTGTTGACTCCAGTTTATTTGCTTTGTCTGAGGTAGCCCTAAGAACATCTGTCTCATATTTCAGAGCTCTGGTTTCCTCAGCAAGGCTTGTCAGCTCATCATTCCTGTGCTGAAATTCAATCAGCTGCTTTTCAAGTTCCTCACAGTAAACACGGTAATCATCTTTTGCAGCTTCAAGCCTGTAGGTTTCTTCTTGTAATTGTTCTAGTTGTAACTGTGCATGAAAATACTTTCTCGCAACCCTTGTATTTGGATCATCAAAAGAGCCATCCTACTGGTCAAACTTTTCGTTCATCATCTCATTCTCAGAGACCAGTGAGTTCTTCTCATCCTGAAGTGCAGTCACCTGCATATCCAGTTCCTGGCACCTTTGCTTTAGCTCTTCCTTTTCTGCTACGGCTTCCTGAAGCTCTTCTAGAGCCCTTTTAGGCTGTTGCTCTAATTCTCCAACGGCGTCCCTTGCAGGAGAGCTCACTGTTTCTTTACTCATTAACTCCTGAATTGCAGTCATGACCACATGCTGAACAGATTCTTCCAGGGTCATTATATTTTTAATAAGCTCTTGCTTCCTTTCACAGTTGACTGCACAGCCTAGAATAAGCTGAAGCAACCTCCCAAGCTCGACAGGGTCTGAACTCTCAGTTATTTGGTTTAAATCGGGAATAAGTTCTTCAGAAATCTGCTGCCCCAAAAACTCGTGATAATAACTTGTAATTCCATGGAGGACCTTCTTTAAGTTACTAACCGTTTTTCTCCAGTTGTCTCCAACATCATCTTTAATTCGGCTTAACCAAGATTCGTTGAACCAGACTACGTCAATTTGATGAAGAACTTGCGCCATGATCACCCCATTAGTCAGCTGTTTGACATCCTGACAGGGCGAGGCAGTCTTGAATGTCTGCAGCCAGATGATGAGGCTGTCACACAGTGGCAGCTCCGGCTGTGGCATGGCTGCGGGTCCTCCATGGTCCTAGAACCTCGACACCGTGCTCAGGCGCCTCCCAGCTGGGGCCCGCGTCAACGACCTGGGTACCCGCCACCGAAGCTAGACGGCCAGGCATGGCGCCCGTGCCGCTCACGCGCGCGAAGCCTCACACTGCCCAGAATGAAATATTCTTAATTTGAAGTTTTTACTCAGAAAATGTAGTAAAAGCATCTTACTTAGTGGTAAATTATTCGAAGCTTCCTTTCTGTGACTGGCCACAAAGCGGGATGCCTGCCACCACCATTTCTATTCACTGCTGGACTTCTTATTTGTAGTCCTCACCAGCTCAATAAAGAAAGATTTACGGCACTAGGATAAACTATGTTTGATAGCATGATTTTGTGGAAAATTAAAAATATCTCCATACCATAACCCTTTATTTAGTAATTGAGTTTAGAAAAAAAAACAGCACAGAGTACCAACATATGTCCATATCCATCAACAGCGAACCATCATCAGAATGTATTTTGAACTGCATGTATAAATATGCAGGGTATAGCTAAAGCAATCTTAGAAGGAAAGCATAGCAACTAAAAGGTTATGTTAAAAACGGAAGATATATCTCTAATCTTCCAGGAAGAAAAACTGGAAAAGTGTGAGAAAATTAACTTAAGCATAAAAATAAAGAAGACAAAAAAAATAATAGAGATCACTAACATTGAAAAGAGAAAAATAGGATTAAAAAGACAAAAGCTGATAAACACCAAAGATGACATGAGCCATGTTTATATGGAGGCGAGCTCACTTTTTATTCTATGGAAGAATGGACTATCTCCCTTCCAAGAAGTGTATTCTAGGGTTAATACTGAGGTAAACCAATTGCTTTGTTTTAGGGGAATTTCACTCACTATATTGTGTCTAGATCTAAAATCTGAACCCAAGTTAAAAGCTTATGACAAGTATTTCCAGGGCAAGATATGAGCCAGAGGAGACTTTTGAGAAGCTAGCTAAGCAGAACTAAATTCTGTTGGAGGGTGTTCGTCTAAATTAGTAACATAAGTGAAAGTCCTAGCTTGGTTTATTTTGCTATTATAGAATGCTGACCAGAGTCAACTTGGGCAGAAAAGTGTTCCAGTTCCCTCTGAGTTCTATGTTCAGAACAGCTAAAAGATTGCTGGCTGAGATGATCCAGCCTGACAGAATACTCCAGTCAGGACTTGATCATAATCCCAGATTTGTTTTTGGTTCCTATAAGATTATCAGCACCCCCAATCAGCACGAAGTAGCCTAGAAAACTACAACCACTTCCCCCCCCCCACCAAAAATGGATTTTGGATATTTGTCTTTATTTAGAGTGTTGGTTATGGTCAGGAAAAATGCTAAGTAAAAGATATTAGATTCAGAGTTTTGAAAATAAAAATGGGAAATGCTGTGGAATAACGCTCTTGTACTCTGCAAAGATTTATAGCTCATATTAGTTTAATAAATATTGACTGTCAAGTAGCCAGGCAGGAAGTATAGGAAGGGCCATCAGACTAAGAGAATTCTGGGAACAGGAAAAGAGGAAGTCAATCACCAGCCAGATGCAGAGGAAGAAAGATGAGAATGTCTCACTGAGAAAAGGTACCAAGCCATATTGCTAAAAATAGATTAAGAATTATGGGTTAATTTAAGATGTAAGAACTAATTAATAATAAGCTTGAGCTAATAGGTCAAATAGTTTATAATTAATATAAACATCTGTGTGCTTTTGGGGTACTGAATGGCTGTGGGACCAGGCAGGATGGACACTTCCCTCCACAAGAATGGGTTTGTTATATTTATAGTCTATAATCTGAGGAAGCTAGGGCAGGAATACAGCAGGGCAGGAATCTGGAGGCAGGAACTAAAACAGACCACTGAGAAGCAGAGGAACACTGCTTACTGACTTGCTTAATTCCAATGACTCACCTTGAACGATGTCTCCAGTGGTGGTACTGCTGCCAGTGGCCTAGGCCCTCCCATACCAATCATTAATTAAGAAATTGCCTCAAAGATTTGCCTAAAGGACAATCAGATAGGGATATCTTTTTCAGTTGGGGTTCCACTATCCAGTTGATCTAACAAAGCACTTTCATTTAATGCTATCATACTTCCCTGTTTTGCTTTGTGTTGTCTGTTTTCTTACCCATTCATATGAAAATCTTCATTGTGTACAACATCATGGATTTTTTTCTTTTTTTGGCATAAATTTACAAGTGCATGTCTTAAATTTAATTATTATTTTTGCATACTGTATAAAATGATAGTTTAATTTTACTTTCCCATATGTCAAGTATTTAATCTTTTCAGCATTATTTTTGATGGACTTCTCCTATTTTTTGACCTTGGTATTTTTGTCAAAAAGTGATTAGCCATATATAAATGGGTTCATTAATGAGTTTTTGTCCTCACATTGATCATGTGTTTATTTTCTTAAAAATATTACCATGATGTTTTAGCTACTGTGAATTTACAGAATATATTCTGCAAGTATAAAGTGTGATACCTCCAGCAATTTATTTTTGATTATTCAGGTTTTCTTGTGATTTCAATTAAATTTTAAGATTTTTTTCTATTTCTGTAAAAATGTTGTTGATTGAAGTGGTACAGAGATTTTCATTGATATAATTTTATAACTATTATATTATATATTAACTACATAATAATATGAATATATTGTATAATTATAATTGTATAATTGTAAACCTATTACGAGATATATTTGTTTATTGGTGATATCTTCAATGTTTTTTCAGTGCTTTGTGCTTTCTGGTTTACAAATATTTCATTATGTTGAATGATTTACTTCTTCATATTTTATTATATTCTCATAAGTGAAATTATTCCGTTAATTTCTTTTTAAGAAAGCTTTTCATTAGTCTACTGACATATTACTGAATATAGTATGCTGTTTATAACCTGAAACTTTACTATATTTGTTAGTATTTTTAAAAAATATTTATTTAAGTCAGTCATGGTAGCAAATGTCTTTACTACCAGCACTTGGGAGACAGACGCAGGTGGATCTCTGTGAGTTCTTGAAGAGCCAGGACTATATAGTAGATAGATCCAGTCTAAAACACCAAACAAAATCTTTATTTACTTATGTGTTTGTGTGCGTGTGTGTACCTGTGTGAATGTATGTAGGCACACATGAGCAATGGCATGCCTGTAGAGGTCAGAAGACAGCTTGAGGGAATTGATTCTCTCCTTCCACCATGTGTGTTCCAGGAATCAAACTCAAGTTGTCAGGATTTGTGTAAGAACATTTATGCACTGATTCATCTCTCCCACTGTTTTGCTGGTGTCTTTAAGTTATTCTTTTCATAAGATAATTTTAGCACCAAACAAACATACAAATTCATTTTTATTTTTCTTGTTTGAACTCCTTTTGGTATTCCTCTCTTGCCTGCATGACTCTGGTAGACTTTTAGTACTAAATAAACGAGAAATGATGAATGGACATTTTTTTTAATTCTCCTCATTTTAGAGAGAAACATTTAAAAATTTTAAGTACTGGAAACTATATCAGTTATTTCTTCCATTATATTTTTTTTGGGTTGAAATACATTTCACCTATACTGAGTTTATTTTGTGTTTTTAACTATTAAATGATGTTGAATTTGATAAAAATATTTTGACTTCTTTTGAGATTATTTTCTGGCTGGGTGGTGGCGGCACACAACTTTAATCCCAGTATTTGGAAGGCAGAGTCTGGCAGATCTCTGTGGGTTTGATGCCACTGGTCTACAGAGAAAGTTTCAGGACAGTCAGAACTGTTTCACGGAGAAACCCTGTCTCAAAAAAGAAAAGAAAAACAGATTATGTTCTGTGTGGCTATTCTGTTAAGATCCTACCTGCTACATTTATTGCTTTGTTGAATTATATTTGTATATATCTGACAGATTCCACTGGATCACAGAGAATGATTTTAATGTAACTGTTTAGATTTTTTCTTATATTTAGCATTTATTCATCTGTGGACATCAGATATTTTGCCTATAAAATGTTTTCCTAACATATTCTTGTGTACATTTAACATCAGGATAAAGTTGACTTAATGAAATAAATTTAATGTTTATATTGACATTTTATGGATTTTTTTGAGGTTGAATAGAAAGTTGTCAATATTATTTTAATTTCTTTAATTTTTCTTCATTTTAAAGAATTCCATAAATGTATATAATGAAATAAGATCATACTTACCCCCAATTCCTCCATCCAACTTCTCCTTTGTGCCTCCCATCATATTCCCCTCCCAGCCTCACATTTTGTTTCTAAATAACCCACTAAGTCTAGTTAGTACTGTCCATATGTACAAGGTCATGAGGCCATTCATTGGAACATTGGAAAGTGGCCACGCTCTATAAAAATGGTTCTCCCTCCCAAAGAATATCCCCATTCTTATTTCTAAATAATATTTTAACTTTCAGCATCCCTCCCATTTATGTTATTTCACATATTTTCTAATACCCCTTTTCAATCCTGGGTTGTAAGATAATAGGCCTCCGTGGGTTCTCATACTCTCTTCCTTTGTGTTAGTCTTCCATTCCGCTGCTTCTCTTCATTCTCTGGTGCTTTACCCCCATTTAAACCTACTGCTCTCAGTATTTCAACTCTACCTACGTTTTATACGTAATATTACTTTCTCTTCCTTAACGTGTTTCCCCGATAGGTCACTTTCTAGTTTTCTGCTTTGTAGTTGTGTTTCGAGTTAAACACACAAAAGACTTGAAACTAGGGTATACATTTAGTTTTTGTCTTCTTAGGATAATTGAGTTTCCTCATTGGGTACACTTTTTCCTGTTGAGTATTATTCCATTGTGTATATGCACCATATTTTTCTTAGACATTCATCTGTTAGACATCTATGTTGGTTCCATTTTCTATCTGTTGTGAGTAGAGCAGCTATGAATGTGGATGTGCAAGTGTCTCTGTACTAGGATCTAAAGTCTGTTGGATATGTGCCCTGTACAAACATTATTAATATACTTTGGTGATATTCACCTCTTTAAATACC